TTAAAAAAAAAAAAAGAAAAAAAGAAATAGGGATCCCAGGGTCGCCTGGGTGGCTCAGTTGGTTAAGCGTCCAACTTCGGCTCAGGTCACGATCTCATGCTTTGTGAGTTCAAGCCCCGCATTGGGCTCTGCGCTGACAGTGCAGAGTCTTCTTGGGATTCTCTCGCTCCCTCTTTCTTTGCCCCTCCCCCACTTGCATGCGCTTGCTCTCTCTCTCTCAAAATAAATCAATAAATTTTTTTAAAAAGAAAAAAATAAATAGGGAGCCCAAGGTCCTGATACAGCAGGATAAAGAGAAAAAACACACAGAGCCTTTGAATCAAGAATGAGGGTTCCAATTCCTGCTCTAGCACATGGCAGCAGTAAGTCACACAGAATCTGAGTTTCTTCATCTGTTAAGGAAAAAAAAAAGAAAACACTTTGCAGGATAATAGTGGGAAAATTAAATAGATCTATCTCTGAGGTTTGCAAAATCTAGTCTTTCTTCCCACTCATTTGAGAGACATCTGACACATAGGGAGCACATTTTCCATCTCGGGCTCTGGGTCTGGGGTGGTTCTGAAGGTCGTCCTTGGCCACTTCAGCTCCCTGGCTGACCTGGGGAAGGAAGGACAGAGAGTCCTGGGACAGAGCTGCATGGGGGTAATTCAGCATGAGGAAGTTGTTACTCTAGGCCTCCCTGACCCAGGCAGGTGGGGAGGGACTGAGGGCACATCCTTCTTAAAGGTCTCTGAGTAAGGAGATCTGGCAGCCCTCTGGGTCCGAGCAGATGTGGTGAGGGGAACCCTTACCCTGCAGGCTGGCATTGACCCTTTCCCAGCTTCCGGTCCACTCCCGACCCTGACTGCTGCCTGCCCCGGCCGTGAGTGCCACAGCCATATGATGTCTGTGTGCTCCTCCCGCAGGCCACAGAGTGGGCCTCCAATGAGGACACGCGTCGCTCCTGCCAAAGCAAAGGGAAGACTGAGGTATGTGGCCCTGGTGGGTGCAGGCATCTGGCTTAGAGCTGTCAGGTGTGTGGTTGTGGGGATGGAGGGTCACCATGTGGGCATGAGGCTGCCTGTGTGAGAAGCCCACCCTGATCCGATTGGGCAGCGATGCAGCCACCTGGCCTGGGAGGGAGATGTGAAGGCAGGGGATGTCCACAGATGCAACCTGAACTTCAGAGCAGGGCACATCTGGGGCAGAGGGGAGTGCTTTCAAATGTCTGTGGGGCAGTGGTGTGAGGGAAAGACACCCAGCCCCACACCTGGTGTTCTTGTTCCTTTATTACTTTCCCTTCTTGCTTCAGGAGGAATGTCAGAACTACGTGCGAGTCCTGATTGTCACTGGCCGGAAAGTGTTCATGTGTGGGACCAATGCCTTTTCCCCAGTGTGCTCCAGCAGACAGGTGGGGCCCCCTCAGGGCAAGACAAACTGAAGGGGTCACAAGAGGTTGTCTTTCCCAGGCACTACACAGCCTTGGGGTGGGTGGCCAAATTTAGGCACACACACACACACACACACACACACACACACACACACAAGAATGTCCAATTAAATTTAATTTCAGATAAACATCAAATTATATTTAGTGTAAGTATGTCCCATGGGAGATTTGGGATACACTTATACTAAACAATTATTCATTAGTCATCAAAAATTCAACTGGGCCTGCTACATTTTATCAGTTAGCCTCACCTTGGAGGGTTCTGACTGGGATGCAGGGAACAGAGGCAGATGGAGCTCCTGCGACTCAGTCTCCCCCCTCCATGATGGCTGCTCCCTCAGGGGAGCTATGTGTGGGGGAGGGAGTGAGGAAGAGGTTGGAGACAGAGAAAGGCCCGAGAGACCAGGAACCCAGGAGGAAGCAAACTCTGGGGTGGCAGGGGAGACCAGGGAGCCCCTGGGTGTCAGGGAAAAGTGCCCCTATCTGCCCATCGTCCCCAGGTGGGGAACCTCAGCCGGACCATAGAGAAGATCAATGGTGTGGCCCGCTGCCCCTACGACCCGCGCCACAACTCCACAGCTGTCATCTCCTCTCAGGGGGAGCTCTACGCGGCTACCGTCATCGACTTCTCAGGTCGGGACCCCGCCATCTACCGAAGCCTGGGCAGCGGGCCACCTCTTCGCACCGCCCAGTATAACTCCAAGTGGCTCAATGGTAAGGGGGCACAGCCCCGGGGGTGGGGGTTCTCCTGCCAGCCAGCCCACCTGACCCCTATCAATCCTCCTTCCTTCCCAGCCTCTGAAAGGGCTCACACTTGCTTCATCAAAAAGCCCAGAGGCAGGGAGATACTTGCCCAAGGACCATAGCACATCAGAGATGGACTCCGGATGAAACCACAGATGTCCTGAGTACCCAGAACAGATGAAGGGGAGGCTGTGAGGGCAGAGGAGGAGTTAGGAATTAATTAGGAGAAAGGGTTATGGGAAAGAATAGATTGGGAGAGGGTGGTATGAGTTTCAACCCCCTGGCGTTGAATTCCAGCTTCTCCCCTGACTGGCTGTGTGGCCTTGAGCAAGTACTTGACCTCCCTCTGCCACAATGTTCTCATCCATAACAGGGGGATAATCATAGCACTTAGCTCATAGGTTGTTAGAGGATCCTATAAAGTACTTATAATATTGTCTGGTATGCAGTGAGTGCTTGGAAGCACGTGTTAACTATCATTATACCTGGACTTTGCACTGGAGGTAGGAACAGGGTTAGTTAGAGCGCCCAGGTCCCCAAGCTGGCCAGGGTGTCAGGATGCCCATCCGGGGAAACGGAAGTAGTAGGTACTCCAGACTCTGTCCCCTTCCTCCCTGCTGGCCCGACCCACTCCTCCTCTTCTGCCCCCCAGAGCCAAACTTTGTGGCAGCCTACGACATCGGGCTGTTCGCCTACTTCTTCCTGCGGGAGAACGCGGTGGAGCATGACTGCGGACGCACGGTGTATTCTCGTGTGGCCCGAGTATGCAAGAATGACGTGGGCGGCCGCTTCCTGCTGGAGGACACGTGGACCACGTTCATGAAGGCCCGGCTCAACTGCTCCCGCCCGGGCGAGGTCCCCTTCTACTACAACGAGCTGCAGAGTGCCTTCCACCTGCCTGAGCAGGACCTCATCTACGGGGTCTTCACCACCAACGTGTGAGTCCCTTGCCCTCTGCCGTCCCTTCCGGTCCTCGCAGCCTGGTGGGAGTGGGCAGATCCCTCTTTGAGCCTTTGTTTCTCCTTCTGTAAGATGGGGAGTGCGTGCCTTCCGCCCTGGGTAGTCTGAGTGTAACAGCACTCCATCCGGTCCTAAGGGTTAACTTGCTCCCAGATAACGCACTCCTTACTTGCTTGTGACTTGCTGCCTCTGGAGTGGTAAGCACTTATTCTAGATTGCCGTGAAGGGCAGGCCTAGACCAGATCTGAAGCAAGCAAATGGAGCTGGATTATGGCTCTGTGGAGGAAGAAATTGCTGGTGGTGAAAGGGAAATAGCCCTCCTAGGGGATGGAAGCCCGGCAAGCTCAGAGGGAAGTCTTTCTGGTCCCTTCCACCTCAGGACTCTGTGAACCTGCTAAAGCTAACCAGCAGAGTCTTCTGGCAGTCCTGATGGCACTGGGAAACACAGGCTGGGAATTAGAACCCCTTTTGTTTCCTGGGTATAAGGAGATCATGGGACCCTGCCCCCACCGCCTCCTTCTGTGTGAAGGCTGACCCAATCAGGTGATTTTCTTATACAGAATGCTGAATGGGCAGCACAGACCAAGGAACACATCTGTAGTGCAGGATGCTGCTGGGACTTCTTTGTGAGGACCTCTGAAACATATGCGCCCTAGACTGGTGTTTGCTTACCCTTGGCCCCAGGTAGCAGGGATTGCATGAGGGCCAGGCTGGCTATAGGAAGGACGGTCTGAGGGGATGCACAGGGATGGGAGGAAAGCTGGGAAACAGGAACAGAGAGGCTATCCAAGGCAAGGGACAGACATGCAGCATAGCCCATACAGCCATGAGCTGATAGCCAGGACTTAGTGACCAGCCTGGCAGTCAGCACCAGAAAGTGGGCAGCCATGAGCAAAGGGCAGGAGCTTCTGGAGAGGCATCGGGGGGAAATGATGACATTGGTATGGATTGTAAGGAGCTTATGTATTGTGTGCCTTTTCCATGCCAGGTGTGTGTCATGGTGGGGGGTGGGGGGGAAGCAGGGATGCCATTAAGCAAAAGACCTGGTTCTGCCCTTAAGAAGCTTACATTCTAGAAATAGTGGTTATTAAACACCCAGTTTTAACTGTGATAAATGCTACAAAGGGCAAAGGCAGTGTGCTGAGAGCCTCTACCAGTGTGGAGGGGTGGTGATCAGGGAAGCCTTCCTGTAGGAAGTGACATCTACAGGATGAATGAGAGTTAACTAGGAAAGAGTTTGGGGGTGGGAAGAAAGAAATGTTTGAGGAACTTAGTGGAGACCAGCATGACAGGAGCCTGGAGGGTGAGGAAGAGGAGAACAGGAGAGGAGGCTGAGGGGCTGGGACAAGAAGAATTATGTCCCAAAGACCTTACAGACTGCTTAAGTGTTTTGATCTTTATTCTAAGAGCAAGGGGAAATTACTGAAGGGCTTAAAGCTGACCAGAGACTAGCTTGGATGTGCATTTTGAAATATTTGCTGTGGCTGCTGTGTGGAGAATGGATTCCAGGAGACTGAACAGGCTACAGGGAGGCCAGCCAAGAGGACAACACAGCATCCAGCAGGAGATGAGGGTGGCTGACCCCAGATGGGGGCGGGGGGGAAGTGGACACAGACTAAATGCAGAGAACAGAACTGGAAACATTTGGGGGAGTGGTGTAGCCTCTGTGACCTGTTCACATCAGACTCATAGAAACACCTAATTCTGGGACTGAAAGGGTCTTAAGAGGTCATCCAGCTCAGGGTATTGTGGGATGCAGCATGAATCAGTGGTTTGATAACCAGCTTTAAAAATAAAATAAAATGAAGACAGCAGAATGGAATGGAATAAAAGTATCAGAGTACAATAATGTATTTAGTAAGGGCAAGTATTGTTTCATGAAGATTCTTCACAGATGTGTGTGCTCATGTGTGTGCTATTCTGAGTTGTAATATGAAATGTATCTCTTACAGTGGGCTGTGGCTGGAATGTTTGAAAAACACTAACTTTTTTGAGCCTCCCACTGGAGAAGGGAAAGGGATGAGGAAGTAGCACAGAATGACCCCCCCGCCCAGTGCTTCTCGTCAGGGGGCTTCCCCCCCCCCCCCGAGTTTCCAGAGTGTGAGGGCGATATCTCCTCCTCCTGTGACACCCCATGGTGTGGGAAGCACCAGGCTCACCCAGGTCCACAGCCAGCCTCGGAGCCGGGCCATGGTGTGACATGACAGCTGGCGGGGGGGAGGGGGGGTTACAGGCATCGAGCCCCACAGGGAGGGCAGCATCCCGCCATCTCTTGCCTTTCAGAAACAGCATTGCCGCTTCTGCTGTCTGCGCCTTCAACCTCAGTGCCATCTCCCAGGCTTTTAATGGCCCATTTCGCTCCCAGGAGAACCCCAGGGCTGCCTGGCTCCCCATCGCTAACCCCATCCCCAACTTCCAGGTACAACTTTTCCTCCCCGTTCCCTCTCCTCACAGACCACCTTTCCCTAGCCGAGCAGCCACCAGCTGGCTCTCAGCTGCTCAGCACGAACACCAACCCTGCCCCTGCGGGTCTGCACCCATCTGTGCCGTCTGCGATAGTTCCCTAAGAGGGTGGTAACATCTAAGACTGTGGACTGAGAAGGGGAGAGTGGGTAGGATGCAGAGCAAGGGAGCATGCTCTGAGCCATCTCTAAATGTGATGTCTCACCCCCAGGGAGACTCAATGTAGGGGACCAGGAGAGCACTCACAAGCTGTCTGGCCAGAATTTGGGGATTTTAGCTGGAGTTTGCTTATACTCTCCCCAGCCTGGGTACTCATTCCTGGAGGGTCTGAGTGCCAGGAGTGGTCAGCGCCGAGCCGTTGGGTAATGAAAGCATACCTAGTGCTGTGGTGGAGAAGAGGAAAGAGCCATGAGGCAAAGGAACCTACAGGTGGTTGACTTTCACATCCATCCAACTTCCTGCCCACGGGGCAGTATGGAGCAGGGGAAGACCTCACCATTTGCAGTGGGATTATCCTGACCCAGATCTAGCCCTCCCTCTGGGTGATCTTGACCTTGGCCAAGTCACCCAACCTCCTTGAGCCTCTTTACCCTTCTCTGGTACATAGGGATAATGCTCTCAACCTCAAAGATAAATGCAAGGGTTAATATGTACCTGACACAGTGCCTGGACTGTAGAAGTGCTCAAGAAATGGTAGTTGCCTTCCAGCTTGGGTTTAGAAGGCATAAGAGCTTGGAGCTGGTAGGAACCCACGAGAGGAAAGGCAGGTTGTGGCCCAGCATGGGGGAGGAGCCCCTACAGCAACAGCATAAAATCACAGGACACTGTTTTTGGCACTCAAATGATTCATTTTTAGATAATCCCAGCTCCTATTTCATCTCCCCGTCCTCTTCACCATCCCCAGAACGTCCCTCCTCCCCATCTTCCCTGCCTCATGTTCCCTTGGTTCTCAAAAAAGAGGTATGGCTCCCTGGAAGGGGTTGCAGCCGCCCCCTCCCCGCCGCAGCGATGTTGGGGGTGGGGAGCCGGGATTGGAGAATCAGAACCTGCCACCCGGGTTACGATGATGAAGGAGAGGGATAGGGGACTGCGGCAGCCGGTTGGCTGGGCCCGTGTGACCCCACCCCCTCCCCGCTGCAGTGCGGCACCCTGCCAGAGGTGGGCCCCAACGAGAACCTGACAGAGCGAAGCCTGCAGGACGCACAGCGCCTTTTCCTGATGAGCGAAGCTGTGCAGCCGGTAACGCCCGAGCCCTGTGTCACCCAGGACAGCGTGCGCTTCTCACACCTCGTAGTAGACCTTGTGCAGGCCAAGGACACGCTCTACCACGTGCTCTACATCGGCACGGGTGAGCCTCCCCGTCCAGCCCGGCTCCCGGTGGGGAAGAGGTTGAGGGGCGGGGGCTGGGCTGGTCCTTCAAGGCCACCTGCATCTGGCCCCTGCAGAGTCGGGCACCATCCTCAAGGCACTGTCCACGACGAGCCGCAGCCTCCGCGGCTGCTACCTGGAGGAGCTGCACGTCCTGCCCCCCGGGCGCCGCGAGCCCCTGCGCAGCCTCCGCATCCTGCACAGCGCCCGCGCGCTCTTCGTGGGGCTGAGCGACGGCGTGCTGCGGGTCCCGCTGGAGAGGTGCGCCGCCTACCGCAGCCAGGGGTAAGCGGGGGCCGCGGGACGGCGGGCGGGCGGGCTCCGGGCCTCCAGAGGCTGATGCCCGCCAATCGCACCTCGGAGGTGGCGCCTAAGAGGCAGAGCTTTGGAACCACCTAGGGTGGCATCCTGACCCAGTCTCGTTATTTGCCTTTGGACAAGTCACTTAACCTCTCTGAACCTTGGTTTCCTTCTCATAAAATATCTGCAGGGATTTTGTAAAGGTTAATTGAGATAGTCTGCCTGAACCACTTATCACTGCCTGGGGGAAAAGTGTGTGCTTAGCAAATGGTGGTGGCTGCTGTTATCCCTGTTGTCAACCCCAAAGTTAAGGCCTCCCAGCCAGCTCTAGCTTAGCTGATTTATTCTCAGCCCCTTTAATTCAGAGAAAGGTCTTTATCTTTGAAACCACAGTACTTACTACCTAGATGTGGAGGGGGAGATGAGACATGATACTTTTGAGTCAGCACCAGGTTTTTGCTTTTCTTCCTTCCTGACTTAGAGGAGGCAGAGAGGACTGGCTTGGGTGGGGTGGAGGTGAGGAGCCATGTGGAGTTGTTTGTTGTGTTTGCTTCCCAACTGCTTCTGAGACCTTAGCTTCAAGTGGATTCACAAATTTGGCAATAACGGCACTGGCATTTAGGGGGGAAAACAAAAAGCCTATTCCAAAGCCAAATAGAAATGCATCTCAGATGCCTATCACGTGAAGCTCCCCTGAGCTGTGCCCCCTCATTTTTGAGATAACCAAAGGCTGCCTTGGCTGGCATAGCCACAGCCACATGGGCTCCTGTGGCCTTTGCAACACAGAAACCTCCTGGCTGTGCCCATCTGTCCTGAGAGTTTAGAGACAAATGGTATCCCTGCTGCCAAGGGTCGTTCTCCAGCCCCTGTGGGGTGTGCTGGGAGCTGGGCAGAGGTCTGGAGGGCAGGGGAGGACACTGGATGGCCATGGTGTGGCAGCCAGAGAGGAAGAAAGGGAGGGCAGTGCGCAGACACTCAGGCTCCCCTCAGTCTCAACACATGGCTCCGTCAGCAAAACACCAAACATTTACTAAGCCCTCCCACGCTCAGAGCACTTTGCAAAGCTGTCCGTGTGAGAGGGGAGAGGCAAGAACACGGCCTAGAACACTCTCATTTCCCTCAGAGCTGTAGATGTCTGGCTGGGGAGAGAACCTCACCCTGTGTTGGACGTGTGAGGCATACTAGGCGGGGCTTACGTGGCAGAATGGGACACACCTAGGATTCTCCCTCAGCTCCGTCATCTACTGGCTGTGTCATCTTGAGCAAGTTACTTTACCTGTTGAGCTTTCCTCTCGGGGGAAAATGGGGAAACTGTGATGGAGTAAATGATAGTTGGTTTTGGCAGAGATGTTGTAAGGATTGGGAATTACATCCATGAAGTGCCTAGCCCAACAAGTCGTAGCTAGTGTCCTTATTCCTTTCCCATCTCCACAAATGCATTTAGGGGCCCTGCAGCCTCCTGGGATCTCTGGAGTCTCAGCATCTCTGACGTTGAGTACAGGTAATACTGCGTGGCATGAATGATAGGCTGTCTCCTGGCGGTGTTTCTCCCATATCTTGTATTCTTCTTTAACTCGTGTGTTGTTATTAAACTTTTCACATATGCCTTGTTCTTTAAATGATTGTTGTTGTTGTTTTTTTTTTAATTTATTTTTGAGAGAGAGGCAGAGTGTTACTGGGGGAGGGGCAGAGAGAGAGGAAGACACAGAATCCGAAACAGGCTCCAGACTCTGAGCTGTCAGCACAGATTCCAATTTGGGGCTTGAACCCCACGAGCCATGAGATCATGACCTGAGCCGAGGTCGGACGCTTAACCGACTGAGCCACCCAGGTGCCCCTCACATGTGCCTTGTTCTTTAAGAGGTTGTAAATCCTTGAAGGCAAACTCACTGTCCCAGTACTTTTTCTACTTCACCAGGGGACCATGCCCAGCCCCAGGCACAAAATGGCCTTCCACACATGACTGATCCATCAGCAGATTGATTATTTGGCCTGAGAGAGGAGGTTGGTGCAGGAGAGGAGTGAGGAATAGTACTGAGGCCAGCTGAGAATGCCAAGGGAGGATTTGATCCCAATCTGTGGCTATAGGCACTGAAGTGGGGGAAGTGGAGTGACAGGCAGTGTGAATAGGTGTTTGACAGCCATCAAGGAGACAGTGGCGTGCAGCACTGTAGAGGGTCAGATGGTCGGCCAGCATGAGGTAGTGCGGCTCCAGGCTGGATATCAAGTAATGGGGTCTGCAGTGGAACCAGGGGAAGGAAGACGCTGGGACATTTCACCACTCACATGGTGCTGCAGAGAGGGGACAGGGAGGGTGCAGAGCATGGCCAGGTGGAACAGCAAGGGAGAAAGAAGTCAGTTTGGAATCTGATACTTTCACCCTGTTTGAACTCCTGAATTTGGGATCTGAACCTTTGATGTGTACAGTGAGATCCTGCCATAAAACTAGAGGTGGACCTGAAAATGTGAGGTCTCATTATTGCAAAGTTAATAAAATGACCAGGGTGAGGCTGTGTAGCCACCAATCCATGCACTCCAGAGTCTGGAAGCCAACTATCACACTATATGAGAATCTGTGCTATTGTGGGGCAGATTGTCACACGGGTTTACTGTGTCCCGGGATAGACATTTCATGCCTTTTTCCTCATTCCTAACAGAACTGGCAGGAGGGTGAGGATGGATGCACAGAGGCCTCTTCACGCTCCCTCCTGTGCCCGGAATCCAGGGGCTTGTCTCCAGCCCTCTCCTTTCACTCAGGCAAATCTCAGCCCCATAGGGCATGACCAGGATCCTGGCCTGGCCAGAGAGAGACCAGGGCTCACAAGAGGTGGAGCAGAGGGAATCAGCTGCTGACTGGCTCTAAAAAGCAGATGCTTTGTGCATGAACCACCCCCTTCCTCCTTCCAGCATGCCCTTCATGAGGCACTGGAGGAGGCGTGGGGGTGCCTACCCCAGCTCACTCAGGAACGTGGATCAGAGTATCTCCTTCCCACCTCCCTCCCAGGCAGGAAATCTGGGTTTTCCTCCACTGCCATCTTAAATAATGACCACTTGCCCTCCAGCTCCACCTTGGACAGCTCCCATTGTGAAACTATTGCTGCAGGGTTCTGGAATCCGCCTGCTTCCAACTTCCACCATCCATCTCTGTCCTGCCTCCCAGCCCATGGAATGAACCTGTTCCCTTTTGTAATGGCTGCTTAAGACACTGCAGTAAAAAAGACATGGTAATATATTATCGGTCTAATGGCTGCTTCTATGGAAGGAACTCTCAATTGCTACCCATTCTTACAGTCAGACACACTTTAATTCTCTCCTTGGAGCTTTAATTTTCTTAAGAACATTCCCTGCTCTGTAAGCTTTGGAGTGGTCTTTGGCCCAAAGCAGCAAATGTGGACAAGGAGAGAGCTCAAGCATTGGCTCCAAGGGAGTCGTGCAAGCTTTCTGAGGCAGCCAGAGCCAGGGGCAGGGGCAGGGGCAGGGGCAGGGGCAGGCCAGGGCAGGTGTATCTGTGGAGAATCTAGTCTCCTCTCTGGGAGAACTGAGAACAGGCTGAGAGGGCGAGGGAGCCTAAGCAGGGCAGGGGTGGGAGGTAGGGGGTTGGGGCCAGCATCCAATCTGTGTTTTTCTTCCATCCTTATTCTTTTCTTATTCTGTCATGGATTGGAAAGACAAGACATTTCATCTCTTAGCTTAAGAACCCTGACCAATGTAGCCTTAGAAAAGCAATGAACAACCATGCTATACTTTAGAATCACCTGGGGAGTGTTTAAAAGATTCCAGTGCCTGGGCCTCCTCTGATCCAGAAGGCCCAGATATAGGTGGGTTTTTTATTTTGTTTGCTGAAGCTTTTAAAAAAGATCGCCAGGAGATTCTAATTTGCAGTCAAAACTGGAAACAATTGTTCTAGAACTGGTTAGACCCTAGATGAAAGAAGTAGCAAGAGGCAAATTGCAATCTTCCAGTATCTACTGCTTTTATCTTGAATAAACCGATTCAGATTTTCTGCTTTTATCCATATTCTCTACTGGCAGACATTTGTTTTTGATGAATAGAATCTTATTTATTATTATTATTAATCACTAGTCATGGCTTTTTTTCCATTTAATTTATATAGCTTACAAAGTGCCACATCAGCTGCTTCTAGAGTTTGATGCTGCCTTCTGAGAGCTGAGGGAAATACCCTCAGGAGTGGGTTTTATTGAGTTCCGATTGGTTGAATTTGCTAGCAGCAAATTTGGTTCAAATGTCAGCCAGAGGAGCAGAATCTCAAAACCACATGCTGCTGGGACTACTTTGCATATGTACTGCATTTAGTCCCATGATGTCTAGTTTGATTCATTCTGCTGGTGAAACACCCCCAAATCAAACCTTTGGATCCCCAATGAAAATATGAACACACTTATATTGTGCAATTTACACAAACTGTTCTTGAGTGAATAAAATGGAAACAGATTCTTGAGGAACAGATGAACGTTTTGGATTTCTGGGTGGGCCAGAGTGTGCTTACTGGGGTCCATCAAGGCCCTCGCCCATTGAAGCCCCAGGCATCACCTCCCTTACATGAGGCCAGGGGCTGCCTGAGCAAGGGGCATCATTGTCTTCTTCAACCTTCTCTGGCAACAAGGGGAAGCCTCAACCCTCTTCTTCTTCGTAAGGTCTCTCATATAAGCTCTTTTGTCCCTGGAACCTGACACAGTCTGTTGAACCACTGAAAATAAAGAACTCACCTGACAGGAGACTTTCCCTGAAGCTTCAAGTGAAAAGAGAGATTCTATCCTGAAAACACCGAAAAGAGCAACCCCTTGACTCTTTCATGTATTCCTTTAACCCTTGGCCCCTTTGGCCAATCAGAAATCACTCTGTAGTGTCACGTCATGGTGTGGACTCTCCCACCCTCCTTGCCATCCAGAACCTCCTTTACCTGAAAGCTTTTCTGCTTCCTAACTTCCAATTTCTGCCCCCAGTCCCAGTGCTCTCTCTAGACCCGCTCTTGCAGGCCCACTGCAGTGGAGCAGCCAGGCCTAGGAAAAAGGGTGGAAGCTGGGGAGGGGAGGCAGAAAGGATCCAGGGTATCCCCTGGGGTCGTCAGTGGGCTCTCTGGGTATTGGAGGGAACTTCCTTCAGGTGCCAGAGTCTGATGCTCTCTTTGCTTAGCAATGAACAGCAAATCCTGATTCTATAATTTCCACACTCGGGGTGCCTGGGTGGCTCAGTCTGTTAAGCGTCTGACTTGATCTTGGCTCAGGTCATGATTTCACGGTTTTGTGGGTTGAGCCCTGCATCAGGCTCTGTGCTGACAGCATAGAGCCTGCTTGGGATCTCTGTCTGCCTCTCTCTCTGCCCCTCCCTGACTTGTGCTCTCTCTGTTTCTCTCAAAATAAATAAATAACCTTAAAATGTTTTCCATACTCTTTTTTTTCCTCCTTGAAGGCTTACTAGTAGATATTTGATTATTTTTACATATTTGTTTGTTGTTTGTTTGGTTTTAATTATCTCTACGCCCAACACGGGGGCTCAAACTCATCACCCTGAGATCAAGTGTTGCTTTTCTTTTTTTTTTTTAATTTTTTTTTCAACGTTTATTTATTTTTGGGACAGAGAGAGACAGAGCATGAACGGGGGAGGGGCAGAGAGAGAGGGAGACACAGAATCGGAAACAGGCTCCAGGCTCTGAGCCATTAGCCCAGAGCCTGACGCGGAGCTCGAACTCACGGACCGCGAGATCATGACCTGGTTGAAGTCGGACGCTTAACCGACTGTGCCACCCAGGCACACCAAGTGTTGCTTTTCTGACTGAGCCAGCCAGGCACCCTGAGATTTAATTTGTTGTTGTTGTTGTTGTTGTTGTTAAAAAAAAAAACTGTAAAGGATACAATGAGTAAGTCTGAAAGAGAGAGGGAAGAGAGGAGGCCTAGAATATGAGAAGTAGCAGCACTTGGTGCATTCATTGGTGTGTGATCAATTACCTTTTCTGGGTCATTGCAGATAGGCCAACCCTGAGGGACCAGGAAGGGGGACCTGGGATGTGTGACCCCTCTCCCGGCAATCTGAGCTCATTCTCATGATGCTAACACACTGGACTCTGGTTCCTGCCCCTGAGCAGCACAAGCATGTGGATGCCCCAGGCGACCTTGAACTATGCCTAGGTGTTCCCTGATCCTGCGCCTGTGTTTTAAGGCATGGGCCTATGTGCGCTCAGTGTGTGAAGTCAGACACAGCCTCCAGCTGGGAAGGAGGAGCGTGGTGGGAAAAGCGTGGTCAGGAAGTCTAGGTTCTAGCCCCAGCTCTGCCGTGTGCAATTTGTGTGATCTCGGGGAAACTCCTCTTCCTTCTCTCTGTTTCTTCCTTTGTACAACAAAAAGGTTGTACTGTGGATCCCAGTAACTCTCAACTTGGGTCCCATTAGAATCACCTGGGAACTTTTAAAAACCTCCCTATCCCCAGAGATTTTTGTTGGGGTGGGGAGGGGTATCAATATTTTTTGAAAGCTTCTTTAGTGATTCTAATGTGCAGCCAGGGTTGAGAACCACTGGGCCAGACCGTCTCTAAGATGCTTTCCATCATTAATGTTTTAGGACTCTATTATAGTGTCTGACAGACACTACTTTGGATTTCTGTTTACCGCATCTTCTCCAGTGGACCTAGATGAAGAGAATGGGGCACCCAGGCTTGGGGAAGGCGAGGTTAAGTGTGTGGGCTCTGGAAGGCATGGGTTTTAATCCTTGTCCAGCTCTTTGGGTTTCCTGCATATATCGTGGGGATAATAACAGTACCTTCCTCATTGGGTTGCTGTATTAAATTAATTCATGCTTGTAAAGTGTTTTAAAGGATTCCCGGCACGCAGTAAGTGTTCAATGAGCTTAGTTATTGCTGTGAAGGGCGACTGGATGGATAAGGGCACCCAGAGGAGAATACCTAGGTGTGTTAATGGGATACAGGTGAGACTGAGAGGCAGCTGGCTTGAGTCTCAGGACCTCTGTCTGGCAGGGCATGCCTGGGGGCACGGGACCCATACTGCGGCTGGGACGGGAAGCAGCAACGTTGCAGCACGCTTGAGGACAGCTCCAACATGAGCCTCTGGACGCAGAACATAACCACGTGTCCTGTGAGAACCCTTTCATGCTCCCCACCTGGGACCTCTCCCCCTAATTCAGGCTGTGACTGTCCATCAGAATCCCCATATCCCCTGGGACCTGGTGCCTTCCCTATCCCTGACTTGTGTGACCTGTTTGCTATGTATTTGCAGGTGCGGAATGTGACTCGGGATGGGGGCTTCGGCCAGTGGTCACCATGGCAACCATGTGAGCACTTAGATGGGGACAATTCGGGCTCTTGCCTTTGTCGGGCCCGAGCCTGTGACTCCCCCCGACCACGCTGTGGGGGCCGAGACTGCCTGGGGCCAGCCATCCACATTGCCAACTGTTCCAGGTATATGAGGATACAGGACTTGGGTGGTGGCTGCCTGCCTTGGACTGGAGGAGGGTGGAATAGAGGAAATGGGGCATCTTCAGGCAGGTGTTCCCACAAAGAGACAGAAACCACTTCAGAGCTGTGCAGGGGACTGGAAAGGTAGCTAAAGCATGAGCCTTGGGGGAGTTTCGACTCTAGTGGGAGAGAAGTCTCTGCCTCGTGGGGGCTCTTGATACAAAGAGGAAGGCTGTACAGGCACAGGAGTCACAGACGACAGCCTCAGTAAGCCTTGCTGTTCCAAACACAAGGGACAGCAGGGGATGTTAGTAAAGTAGGCAGACCGGGTGCCAATCCTGAAATGACACTCTCGGTGCAACCTTGAACTCTCTTAGAATAACTCAATTCTATATATGTTTATTGATTTGACTGTCAAAACAACCTCATGGGGGTAGGAATACAATCATTATCCTTACTTTAATGATAAGAGTATTATTGCAAGGCACAGAAATTTTCAGTAACTTGTCCAGGCTTATACAGCCAGTAAGCGGTACAGCCAGAACTTGAAAACTGGAATCAAAGTAGACAACAGTGAATAGTGTCGGAGGAGGTTGGAGCGAAGCGCGTGTTGATGTAGAACACGGGAGAGAGCATGGGTTTGAGTGCAAGGCTTGGACAACGAAGAAGGCTGAAACAAATGTTGCGTATTGTAAAGGCAACTGGGGCCTTCTCTAGAGAATGTGTCCTTTTGCTGTGTGAGTATCTCCATGCCCTATGCCCTATCTCTATGCCCTTAGCCCAGAGCACCTCCTGATATATGGAAGAAGGTTCTCAACACGTTTGGGGAATGAAGGAACAAATGATCACATAAATAAGTCTGCCTGAGACGGCCTGGTTAGGAGCTGATATTTTCTGTGTCACTGTCTGACAACTTCCAGACAACATAAAACCCACCTGCCCAGAGACAGACTACATCTGGGTAGCCAGAACTCAGAGCGTCATCTGTCCCTGTCCCCTCTGACCCCACCAGGAATGGGGCGTGGACGCCGTGGTCCTCGTGGGCCCTGTGCAGCACGTCCTGTGGGATCGGATTCCAGGTCCGCCAGCGAAGTTGCAGCAACCCTGCTCCCCGCCACGGGGGCCGAATCTGCGTGGGCAAGAGCCGGGAGGAGCGGTGAGCGAGGGTGTGGCCAGAGGTTCCTCAGACGCTAGCTAGCCCTGAGATCCCAGACCTCCCCGGCCTCCTAGAAACTGGCCTGGATTCTCCGAGTGTTCCGGTGGATTCTTGACCTTCCCGGGCTTGCACTCCCAGTGACCTCTTGTTAGGGAAGGGGCTGCCTGCTCTCCCCCGCCCCCAACACACACCCTTCCCCTCAGGTTCTGTAACGAAAACACGCCTTGCCCGGTGCCCATCTTCTGGGCGTCGTGGGGTTCCTGGAGCAAGTGCAGCAGCAACTGTGGGGGCGGCGTGCAATCGCGGCGGCGGTCCTGTGAGAACGGCAATTCCTGCCCAGGCTGCGGCGTGGTGAGGGCCTGAAGAGGGGGCGCGGGCAGGAGGGCCTGCACCAAGGGGAGAGCGGGAGGGGGCGCAGGGCCGGCCTGGGGCTGTAGGTCACGAGACAGTACGTGCTCCCATCCCGAAGGAGTTCAAGACGTGCAACCCAGAGGGCTGCCCCGAAGTGCGGCGCAACACCCCTTGGACGCCTTGGCTGCCCGTGAACGTGACTCAGGGCGGGGCGCGGCAGGAGCAACGCTTCCGCTTCACGTGCCGCGCGCCCCTGCCCGACCCCCACGGCCTGCAGTTTGGCCGGAGGAGGACGGAGACCAGAACCTGCCCCGCGGATGGCTCGGGCGCCTGCGACACCGATGGTACAGCGCCGTGCGGGCCCCTTCCCTCCCAGGCTCAGAGTGCTGGCGCGGGGCTGGGGGAGGCCGGGGTCGGGTGGAGCTCGGGGCGGTGAATCGCGGGGTTTGGAAGGAGCCAGAAGGACTGTGTGTGGGGAGGGAGTGGGGGCCGCTGGGTGTCCTGTCGCTGAGGCCAGTCTCCCCACCCGTGCCCCACCCAGCCCTGGTGGAGGATCTCCTGCGCAGCGGGGCCACTTCCCCGCACTCTGTGAGCGGGGGCTGGGCCGCGTGGGGCCCCTGGTCGTCCTGCTCCCGGGACTGCGAGCTGGGCTTCCGTGTCCGCAAGAGAACGTGCACGAACCCGGAGCCCCGCAACGGAGGCCTGCCATGCGTGGGCGACGCTGCCGAGTACCAGGACTGCAATCCCCAGGCTTGTCCAGGTGACCTTCCGCTTAGGAATCCCCATCTAGGAGATCCCCTAGGCTACAGCTCATGCCCAGAGGACCTTGTCTTCCTCGTTTTTTTGTTTTTTGTTTGTTTGTTTTGTTTTGTTTTTGTTTTTGGCAACTCTGTCCACTGGGCCCTAGAGCAAGTTTGTGCCCTGAACTTGGATACAGTGGCTTGTCCCACAGAGCAGGGCCTTTTCTCACCCTCCGTGTCACTCTCTTCTCTGTCCCTAATAGGTTAGCTAGCTAAGGAGCTTGATTTGAGGTGGAGTTGGTTTTTGATGTCTCCTTTGCAGCCTCATTTCCCCACTGCACCCCTGAGGGGATAGGGGCAATCCTTAACAGTAGGCTGTGGGGTGGTGCAAATGATGGGGTCACGGTGGCCCAGGGCAGGGTGGCCTAGCGTGCCATAAGGTAGAAGACTGTCTTGGGCTGTGCCTTCACCTGCAGCCCCCATCACACACCCTGTCCACTTGCAGTGCGGGGTGCTTGGTCCTGCTGGACTTCATGGTCCCCATGCTCAGCGTCTTGTGGTGGAGGCCACTATCAACGAACACGTTCCTGCACCAGCCCCGCGCCCTCCCCGGGCGAGGACATCTGTCTTGGTCTGCACACAGAGGAGGCGCTGTGTGCTACACAGGCTTGCCCAGGTATTGAGAACATCCGGCCAGGGCTGGGGAGCACCATGGATCCCTTGGATCCCCACCAGGGGGTCCCAGAGCGGTTAACTTCATCCCAGCCCACAACCCACAGAAGGCTGGTCACCGTGGTCTGAGTGGAGTGCATGCACTGAGGACGGAGTCCAAAGCCGCAGCCGGCACTGTGAGGAGCTGGTCCCAGGGCCCAGCACCTGTGCTGGAAACAGCAGCCAGAGCCGCCCCTGCCCCTACAGCGAGATTCCTGGTAGGTCCTCAAGCCAGCACCTTCACACCCACCCTTCCTACCCTGTGTCCCCAACTTCCTTCTCCTTCTGAAGAATCTTGGTGGGTCCAGGATGAAACACCAGAGTGGGAGGGGCACACACTTTGAGCTTTTGCCCCTTCTCACCTAGAGAATGGGCTGACCCCCCATTCTCAGAGAGTGGGGACAGGGTGGAATGAAGGCCCCAGGCCCCGTCCCACAGCTCAGCGCTGACCCACGGGTCTTCCTAAAGATATACCTAGACCAAGAGGGACCCTTCTTTCCTCCCTGCCCCAACACCCTCTCTGTTTGTCTTCCTGCAGTGATCCTGCCTGCCTCCAGCATGGAGGAGGCCACCAGCTGTGGAGGTAAAAGGAACCTGCCCCACCTCGTGATGCTTTCTACCTCTCCTCCCCAAGGAGGAGACCAGCCCTACCCTGAAATCTGGAGTTTCTCAACTTCTTGCTCCAGAGAGACAAACCTTGTGGAGGTCCTGGCTGCTTTAGACCATGTGTGGGGGCGGGGGCTGGGAGGTTCCATCCATGCCCCCCAACTAGCCAACGGTCACCAAGTCTGTATTCAAGAAGAGTCACCCAACTCCACACCCTGTGGTTGCCTCCTCTGACCTAAACCAGAGGTGTCCCGTAAGAGAGGCCCCTGGTGGCAGGCTGCCCCGCCTTCCTGTTTTCCTGGGCTTTGGCCTCAAAGCCCTTTCTTTAGATCTCCTGCTGGGAGGCAGTCAGGAGTCTTTTCTCTCCGCAGTGGCCCTTTCCTTACCACTTGCCTCTGCCTCTCCCAGGGTTCAGTCTTATCCACCTGGTAGCCACAGGTGTCTCCTGCTTCCTGGGCTCTGGGCTGCTGACCTTGGCGGTGTACCTGTCCTGCCAGCACTGCCAGCGCCAGTCCCAGGAATCCACACTCGTCCATCCTGCCACGCCCAACCACCTGCACTACAAGGGTGGGGGCACCCCCAAGAACGAGAAGTACACGCCTATGGAGTTCAAGGTGGGAGCCTACCTGTAGAAGCAGAGTGCAGGGTAAAGGGGGCAGTGGTTCTGGCCCTGAGCTGGGCATGACTGGGCTGGGCACTCGGGAGGGCACAGGGTATCGTGAGCTGCGTCAGCAGCCAGAATGTTTTTTCACTGGCTGGTCCCTGATCTCCTTGCCCTGGCCTGTCGCCTTTCCCCATCCCTCCCTCACCCCTTTCTTTCTGGTTCCTACCTTCTTCCACAGACCCTGAACAAGAATAACCTGATTCCTGATGACAGAGCCAATTTCTACCCACTGCAGCAGACCAATGTGTACACAACCACCTACTATCCCAGCCCGCTGAACAAACACAGCTTCCGGCCTGAGGCCTCACCTGGACAACGGTGCTTCCCCAACAGCTGATAACACTGTCCTGGGGACTTGGGCTCCTTGCCTTTTTAAGGCACAGAGCAGGTGGAAATGGGACGGTGGAGCCAGTTTGGTTTTCTCCTTCTGCACCAGGCCAAGAACTTGCTGCCTTGCCTGTGGGGGTCCCATCCGACTTCAAAGAGCTCTGGCTGGCGGTGACCATGGGGGAGAGGGCTGGCTTCAGGCTGGCACGTGGCTGCAGTTCCAGCACAGCCCAGGTCTCTCATGGCCTCCTTGCAATTCACTACCGTGCTGATATCCCCTGCCTTGTCTGGGCTGTGGACCTACTGGGTGTGCGAGGAACTGGAGAGTGGAGATGGCCGAACAGCAGGCTCTTAGGTTTGGGTTGGAAATGACGCTCATGTGGCCATCACAGGCCAAGGCTGTCCCTCTCTGGCTGGCCTCAGGAAGGGCGTAGGCTACATCCTGATTATCTCTGAGAGGAACTAATCAAATGGCCCCAGAAGCTCTGGATTCTCCACCCAGGGCTGGGCCGCTGTGGTGCTGCCCCAGTGTGACCTGGGGGCCAAGGCTGGCCCAGGTTGTCCACCTTTGCCTAGCAGTCTGTACTTTCCCCAGGGACATCCCTCTGGTCAGAGGCAGTGAGGGCTGGGGACTGAAGATTGAACTTTGCTAAGAAGCCCTTTAATCTGGGCTGGCACAGGCCTCAGCTTTACCATCAGAATGCACAACAGGTGGCCCAAGAGAAAGGGAAGCAGGAGTCCAGCCTCCGTGCCACTATGGAGACTGTCTTCTAGCTGCTGCTTAGTAGAGCTGTTGGCTGAGACCTGCTTGGGAGTCTCTGCTGGCCCTTCATCTGTTCAGGAACACACACACACACACACACACACACATACACACACACACACACAAACACTCACAACATGCTACAGTAACAAAAAGGATGTTGGGCTGTGGCATTATTAAAGATGATATCCAGTCTCCAAATGTAATTCTGTCTTTGTGCATATGTGTGTGGGCTCCTCTTGGTGTGGGTTAGAGCAATCAGAGCAATGCACTGGACTAATAGATGGTCTTCTCGGGGTGGAGAAAATGACCCACATAGAGCCTGACTTTCATAGAGGGGATCTTTCCACTTGTGAGTATATGTACATACTTTTTGGAAAATAAATTAGGGACAAGCAAAACCCTAAGTAGGGACACAAGGTACACCAAAGGCAACACAATAGGAGATTTTTCTGCCCATTCCCTTAGCAGCTCTTCTAGGCAACCGCTCCAGGGTGGAAATGCATGAGCCCAGCAGGAGAGTAGTAACGAGGGCTGTTTTATGAGGTATTTATAAGGCTTAGTTTAATAAAGCTGAAAATGACTGAGAAATGAATACGCCTCTGAAGCGGGAGAAGCCCAGTATAGTTTATGATGGATTAAGGAAAAACCTTGAAGCCTCAGTCCACCAAGCCAGAGAGGGAGAGAGAGATGAGTTGATGGACATGTCAAATTCAGAGAGCAATTTCCCAACTTAATTGACTGGGTCAGTTCTCCTTGGGCTCCCAGGGAGTTCTACTTGTAGGCCAGGCTGTAAACCCTGTGATCCTAGTGGTAAGGAGGAGGAAGAGAGCCTTCCTGGGCCCTGGGTCCTGGAATCCCTTGTGCTTACTGGGACAAATGAAGTAGCAGTGTCCTCAGACCTGGGTAGAGCCCAGTCAGAGAGAGAGCTCAGGGGACATAGTAGTCCTTCTGCTTTGGAATTTTCTTATTGGGTTCCTGTTAACATCATGAGTCCAGAGCCTGTGGGAGCCTGTGGGGTGTGGTAGATCTTGGGATCTCTGATTCTCTTGGGCCTGGTTCAGGCAGTGAGATCGTGTTCAAGGGCCCAGGGTGCCTGCTTCACAAGTGCCACTCATATGTCCAAGTGGAGGGACTGGACAGGTCTGTAGGAAGTGGTAATGGAGAAACACCCAGCTAACGCTCACCCCGTATTGACTGGAATGGCATCAGTGGGAACAAAAAGCTGCAGATGCTGTGGCAAAGCACCACACACACACACTGAATTCTCTTTTTATACAAACTGTTGTGGCTCTGGAGGCATGACCATTCAGAATGCATTAAGGGACCCACACTGTATGCAAATTAGCTTCAATGATTGGCAAAGGCTGCTCCATAGCCAGCCCTGGTCCACAGATGAGGAAGCCAAGAATGTACTCCTGAGAGGCTGTGGTGCTCTCTGGCAGGTACTTGAGGCCACATGGATGGCTGCATGGTGTCAGGAAGTTGAAGTGTGAAAGACAAGGGGACTTCTTAGGTCCAGCTGGCTCAGCAAAAGAGGGAAGGAAATACAGGGTTGGGTGCTCTAGGCCTTCTTGGGCTTTCTTGACTTCAGATAACTTGTGTGTGTGTGTGTGTGTGTGTGTGTGTGTGTGTGTTATTAAAGTAATACATGTGCATCGCAGAAAATTTGGAGGATATAGGAAACCAAAACCATAATCACAGTTATGGTAAAAACCAAGGCAGAGACTTGGGGATTTAAATGGTGGCATGGAGACATTTCTTCTCCCCTTCTCTCAACATCACTCCAAAAGCAAAGAGGCCAAAAAACAAAAGCTGTCACTATTTTCAATAAAACTAGGATGTATTTATACTCCCAAATCATAATACATGAATACAGAAAGCAAAGGAACAGCAGTCATCCAGAAGAGTGGGTGTGGGTCAGACCTAAGCACCCATGCAGTTTCAGAAACAATCAGAAATTGGAGGAACCTGATATCAGGGAAAGTGGGGTCCAGGTGGGAGCCTAAAAATGTGAGTTTGGTTGAAAATCTTTATGTAAACTTCAGCTAGGCCTTCAAGTTGTCTTTACTCTCTAGTCTTACAGCTAGGTCACCACTTCTTTGTCTCCACCGAGGGCTATAAGTATGTACCCTTGTGGGGCACCAGGGTGGCTCAGTCGGTTGGGCATCTCACTCTTGATTTTGGCTCAGGTCAAGATCCCAGTGTCTCAGGATCAAGCCCAGGGTCTTGGGCTCCACACTAACAATGTGAAGCCTGCTTGGGATTCTATCTCTCTCTCCCTCTGTCCCTCTCCCCTGTTCACATGCTCTCTCTTTAAAAAAAAAAAAAGAAAGAAAAAGTTTTGTTCCCTTGAGACACTGAACCAGAGAGGCCCTAGACATGAGGATACCGGGCACAGAGGTGGGTATGTGATGAGGGTCTGTTTGGACAACCAGAGGAATAAAAAAGATTATGATTATCAGTGGGGTTCAGCAGTTGCCTTTTCCAGCTAACTCCAGGACTCTGGCAGCCAAGCTCCTACCGCCTTCCCTCCTCCAGGCAGGAGATTTAAAGATGATTCTTTGAAGAAACAAACTAAGTCTATAGGTTCTGAAAAAAAATAAGCCAGCTGGTACACAGAACTTGTAGTCAGTTTTCAGCATCTCACTTATAAATAGGAATATACAAATAAAGATCATAGACATCAGAGAAAAAAGTGCCGCCATGAAAGAAAGACCAAAACAAGTAAGCAAATAGAGGAACCCAATGAAAACAGATATGGTATATGCACAGAACATTTTAAAGACTCCATAATTCTTCAGAATAAGTGAAGATACTGCATTCATGAAATAAGAACAAGATAACTTAGAAGTTAAAATATGGCAGCAGAAAAAATTAATAAAGTGTTTAAAGATAAAGGAAGTTTCCCAAAACATTGAACAAAAAGATAAATGGAAAATAAGAGAGAAAAAGAAGAAAATTAGAGGACCATGGTGCCTAGCTGGCTCAGTCGGTTTTGTGTGGGCCCCACATTTGTTGTTGAGATTACTTAAAAAATAAAATCTTTTTTAAAAAATTAGAAAAACTTAGGAAACTTTCTAAATTTTTCTCTAAAAAATTTAGGAAATTATCAAAGAAAGAATATAGGAAAATTTGCCAGAACCAAAGGGTGAGGTCTTCAGATCAAAGGTCCACCCAGTACCTAGCATCATGAGGCACCTAAACATGACATTTCAAAACATCAGCCTTGAAGAGAAGATTCCCACAGACAAAAAAACATTAAGAATATGAATGTATAAACCTCTTACTAACAAGATTTAAATTTAGAATACGGTGGAAATTATCCTCAAAATTCCGAAATAAAAATAATATTTGGTTGTGAATTTTATACCCAGCCAAACTATGAGTCATATGAGAGTAGAATAAAGACATTTTCAGACTTTCAGAGATTTGATACATTTCACATGTGCTCTTGTTTCAGTAAAACAAGAGTAAACAAAGAAAATGTGGATCCAAGGAAAAGGAAATCTAACACAGGAAGGGGGTGAGGAGAGATATCAGGCTGACAGCCATGCGGCAGGCACAGAGAGCCACAATCCAGATTAGTATAGGAGGACAGCCTGCACCCAGAGAGCCAGGGAACACAAGCATTCAGATTATCTGGAAGGTTTGTATGGAAAATTACATGAAGATTTATTTTATAAAACCGTTGGGGGGGTACGGAGAGACTTAAAATTGGCTTCAAAGGATACTAAGGGGAAAAAGGCATTTTTTTTTGCATGATTTATTTTTAAAAACTTTATTAAAATATAGGTACAGAAAAACCACACAGGGGCGCCTGGGTGGCTCAGTCAGTTAAGCGGCCGACTTCAGCTCAGGTCATGATCTCGCGGTCCGTGAGTTCGAGCCCCGCATCGGGCTCTGTGCTGACATCTTGGAGCCTGGAGCCTGTTTCAGATTCTGTGTCTCCCTCTCTCTGACCCTCCCCTGTTCATGCTCTGTCTCTCCCTGTCTCAAAAATAAATAAAACATTAAAAAAAATTTTTTTTTAAAGAAAAACCACACAGAACAAAAGTATAGCTTACTGCATATTGGGTAAATACCTTTGTAATGACCATCCAGGTCAAGAGACAGAATTCCACAAACACTCCAGGTCCCTCTTTTCTATCCCATCCTTGTCAGAGCCCCCTCCTTCCAAATGGGAGATCATTATTAACACCCCCCCCCCAAAAAAAACACAAAAGAGCATACAGAAAAGGAAATGTAATCATTGTTTATCACTTGGTGCAACCATGATATTTATATAATCATCCTAATTAAAACACTGTATATGGGGACAACTGGGTGGCTCAATCAGTTAAGCATCTGACTTTGGCTCAGGTCATGATCTTACCGTTCATGGGTCTGA